TCGACTGGGCGTTGCAGTTGTCGAAAGTTGCAGAAACTGAGTATGCAAATTACGCACGTGTGCATATGGGCACACAACTGAATACAGCTTTAAAAATATTAACAAGTCCGAGATCGCCAGGAGAATTAAATTATGCTGAAATCAAAGACATTCTGATTCGTCATTTCGATGGAAAGAAAAATAAATATGCAGAAAGCGTGAAATTTAGACAAATGAAACAAGAACCGGGAGAATCAGTAGCAAAATTTAGTCTTCGATTGAAAAATGGAGCAGTTTTCTGCGAGTACGGCCAATTTTTAGACAGGATGCTAATTGAGCAGCTTTTAATGGGGCTAGAATCTGCAACTATTTGTGATGAACTGATTGCAAAACAACCACAGAGCTTTAGTGAAGCATACGAGATAGCTTATGCTAGAGAACTAACTCATCATGCAACAAAAGAAGTTAACTCCAGCAATGAGCCTTCACAACCGGAACAAACATTCAAGTTAGGTTTTGCTCCAGTTAAAACCAAAAATAAAAATAGTAAATCTGATGCTCTATTTCCAAATAAAGGTAAATGTTACGGGTGTAATGGGAATCACACGAGAAACAACTGTAAATTTAAGAGTGCGAAATGCTTCGCTTGTGGTAAGATCGGTCATATTTCTAAGGTATGTAAAAGTAAAACTGGTCAAGTAACGATGGAACAGGACGAAGAAAACGATTCTGTTGAGCAATTGCGTTTTATAAATAAAATTAAATTTTCAAACCGTATGAAAAGAAAATGATATTTGTGAGTATCGATGGTAGGAAATTGGAAATGGAGCTTGATACTGGTGCTCCTTGTAGTATAATTAGCAAGAAACGCTTACGTGCTATCAAACCCTATTACACTTTACATAAATCTGACAGAAAATTTGCTAGCTATACAGGTCACTCAATAAATTGTATTGGCAGAGTTGTAGTAAATGTGACTTTGGGAAAAACTTCTCGTGTCTTAAATTTATATGTTGTAGAAGATGATTTAGACACTTTGTGCGGCCGTGAATGGATAAGTCATTTTGCACATGATATTAATTTTTCAGATCTATTCGCATCTACACCGCCAAATAATAACTCTCCAAACGATAGCTTTAGTTTAAATACTATTACTTCCGATGTATCGATATTAAATTCTATTGAAAAAAATCAACTACAACAAATTGTAGATAAATTTGATGATGTATTTGGAAGTTCAGCTGGAAAGCTTAAATGTCCTCCTATAAAGATTCATATGAAGCCGAATGCTAGACCCATATTCGCTAGACCAAGAGAAGTTCCTTTAGCTTTAAGAGAAGCATATGCCAAGGAAATTGATGCTAAAATTGCTGCCGGTTATTATAAAAAAGTCGAATTCTCAGAATGGGCTTCCACGACCCATGTAGTAACTAAAAAAAATGGAGCTATACGTATTACTGGAAACTATAAACCTACGGTCAACCCTCAAATGATTATCGATGAGCATCCTATTCCAAAACCAGAAGATTTATTCAACAGAATTAAGGGTGCTACAATGTTTGCTCATCTAGATGTTACCGACGCATATACGCATTTGCCAATAGATGAAGAGTTTGGACATGTTCTTACCTTAAATACTATTACTCATGGCCTTATACAACCCACTCGTGCAGTCTATGGGGCTGCAAATATTCCAGCAATATGGCAGCGAAAAATGGAAGAAGTTTTAAAAGGATTACCTAATTGTCTTAATTTCTTCGATGATATACTATTATTTGCAAAAGATTTTAATGAATTACAACAAATTTTAGATTTGACTTTGGCCCGAATTAGACAGTGTGGTCTTGCAGCAACGTCACTGGAATTTTTAGGGCATTTAATTGATGCCAAGGGTATACATAAGTCAAATAAGCATATTGAATCTGTATTGAACGCACCGAAACCAAACTCCTTAGAAGACTTGCAGCTATTTCTAGGTAAAGCCTCGTACTATAGTGCCTTTATTCCGGATCTAGCAACCCGTGAGAGGCCATTACGAGATATTCTAAAATCAAAGGTATTTTCATGGAATTTAATCGCGGATGCTGCTTACAACGATATTAAGAAAATTTTAGTATCTCCACAAGTTTTAATATCATATGATCCAAAACTACCATTATTGTTGGCAACGGATGCTAGTAAAACTGGCTTGGGCGCGGTATTGTCTCACCGTTTACCTAATGGCGAAGAACGACCTATAGCATACGCAAGTAGAACAATGAGTGTGACAGAACAACGTTACTCTCAAATAGATAAAGAGGCTTTGGCCATAGTATGGGCCGTTCAAAAATTCTTTAAATATTTATATGCACGGCATTGGACATTAATAACCGATCACAAGCCACTTACTCAGATTTTGCACCCTAATAAATCGCTTCCAGTTCTTTGTATTTCTCGTATGGCAAACTATGCCGATTTTTTAAGTAACTTTGACCTTATCATCCCTCTACTAACGGCCAAGCTGAACGTAGCGTTCAAACAG